TGAGATCCCCTGGAGTATGGACAGTTGTGAGTTGCCATCTGAGTACTTAGAATTGAACCCGGGTCATCTGTAAATGCAGCCAGTGCTTTTAATCTTTGAGTTATCTCTCCAGCTCCTAAAAATGCTTAAAGAAAAAATGGGATGCTGTCTTAACAGGTACCTAAAACACAGAAAATATTTGGAGCTTGGTGATGGGTAAAGGCTTGGAACTCTTTAGGGAAATGTTTAATGAATAGATATCGGGAGGGCATAGGTCAGGGACTGAGTACTTGCCTAGTGTATACTATGCTCAGTTAGATCCCCAGTACTCAGGGGACATAGCTATTACCATGAAATGACTACCAAAGGTAATCTGATGAAAACTGGGAAAAAAAGCAGAGAGTTAGAGAAAAAGCTGTCATCTTCTCAGAGAAGATAAATCATATAAATATTAACAAGGATTCTAACAAGGCCATAGGAGGAAAAGATGAACATGGTATTTATAGTGAAGGAAAGATGGTCCTGACTAATTGTGTTCAAAGCCTGTTGTGAAAAATGTAAAACATGTCAGTGATGAAACTAGATATTTGGCTGAAGAGTTCTAAGTGTTGATGGAGCAGATAACAAGATAAGCAAGTTGAAAAAATAATGGTTAAACAAAGAACAGAAAGTTCTCAGCTTACTTTCATTGCAGAGAATGCCAAGGCTATTACCATGGAACTGTCTTTTAAGGAGATATTATGAGTGTGAGCTGCAGACCTACTCAATACCCTCAACAGGAAAACCAAGAATGTCAGCTACAAGAGATGAAGATGGGATTGGATGAAATGAACGAAGGGTCTCTGGGTTCTTAGATCTACAGAAGGTGATTCAGCTATACATGTATAGCCTAGTCTCAGTGAGTCAAACAAGCCATGGTGTGGGTTCACCCGAAACTATGGAGGTGCAATTCAGCATGGCAAAATCCAAGGAACAAGACTCATATGGTAGAATTCTGGAAGTCTGGTCCCTATGTAACAGAGCTCTAGAGATTAAACTTCCACTCAGCAGAGTCCTGGGGATATGACACACATTGTGCAGGGCTGCAAAATATCAAGCACTGCCCAACAGAACCACAACACTTCTGAGGATGCTTCTCAAGCCTTACAGGCTCATAGAATTCATCTTACCTTCCCTATGCTTTCTTTGTGGAATATGAATGTTTATCTTATGCATATTTGATCAATCACTAACGTTTGGAAGCATATGAATTGTTTGGTTTCCCACCTGGAAAAGAACATTTCCTCCAGATGACCTGTCTTGCTAATAAATGATTTAGAATAATACTTTGATGAAACTTTGACTTTAGACTTTAAAGGTTGTACAAGCTAAGAGTTTGGGGGCTGTTGATATCAGATGTGTTTGCATGTAAAAATAGCAAGAATTTCAGAAGGGCTCAATGTGGTATTTTAAAGACTGGACATCTCCTGATGTGGAAGTCTTAATCCTTTGGGGAATAATTAGGTCTAGAGATAATCACGAAGCTAAATAGCTAGAGTGACATGATTTCCTTGTAGGAAACAGAAGAGACAGGAGTGACCCTCTTGGGATTCATGTATAGTCTCATTTATAGTATTCATTGTTTTAAACATGTAGACTGTGGTAGATGTTATGCCCATCTGAGTTGATAAAGAGAACTCTGTTCTGGCTTTCTGACTCTTCCATCTTCTAGCTTGTACCATGCCTTAGTAGTAGATTTTCACTAAAACAACTTTTGAATTTCTGTGTGGTCCCCTTTTATAATCCTTTTGCTATTTCCTGTATACTTATACATCATTCTCCCCAATTTCTTTTACTGATGTTCTGTCCATGGTCTTGTTTGTTTGGTTGGTTGGTTTGTTCTTACTTCTGAACACATTTAAGATCAAGGTTTTTTGTTGCTGTTGTTCAGAAAGTCTAGAATTCATTCTCTAGAATTCCATGTAATGATTTCCAACAATTTCTTTTAAGAAATGAGTCCCCCACCCCAAAGTCTTATTGAATTTTGAAGGTCTGTAGTTTTTATTGAGATTGGACATGCTAACTATTGTAATGAAGAGATTGTAGATACCAGATCTTGTCTTTTGCCCCTAAAGAATTGGTGATATCACTCATTGAAGAAGTTGTTCATCCATTTAGTTAGTTGTTTTTCTTTGCAGCACTTTTGTAGAGCCTATATTTCTTGTCGTATGTGGTCACTGAAGTGCCTTTTATTATTTCTGTAGTTAGCCACTGATGATAGAAATTTCTTTGGAAATCAATATTTTTCCTCATCAAGGACTTTTCTAGAGCCAAAAAGTGTTCTTCCAGACTCTAAAATACTTCAGTGATTAATACTGTCAACTAAGTTGTTATTTATATCAAGATCAATTCCTGGAGTCTCTCCTATCTGTCATCCTCTAATTTTAATATAACTTCAATATGACTTTAAAATAGATAAATGCCTTTCTTGATTATCAACATGGTACATTGGGTGTAGTGTATCTTTGACTTATCATGTACCTGGTTTGCCTGACATTTGTAGGATGGTTAAAATAAGTCATCACTGGTAGATAAGAGAATACTCCAAATCAAATTTCAACCTGGTTACAACTCAGTTTACTGTCTGTAAAATGAGAATAACACCAACATAAACTTCTCAAGAATTTAAACCAAGAATCTGGAAAAACTTAAAAATAAAAAGTTTTGCAGAATGTCTGCTATATAATAAATGTGATCCACCTTTGATGATAGTTTTTTTTTTTTTTGCATTTTTTTTTTTGAGACAGGGTTTCTCTGTGTAGCCCTAGTTGTCCTGGAGCTAGCTCTTGTAGAGCAGGCTGGCCTCAAACTCACAGAGATCTGGTAGACTCTGCCTCCCAAGTGCTGAGATTAAAGGAGAGTGCCACCACCACCAGGCTGGGTGATAGTTATTTTTAAATTATCTACCTTTGTAGTTAAAATGTGAAGGATTTTTAAAGATAAGAATGATGTTTTCATTTTTTAATCTTATTTTTCTTACATATAGCAAATACTAAACCTGTTTCTGCAACAAATTGGTAAAAAAATTTTTTGAGTGAAGGAAAATAGGTTTATAAGAAAAGCAATCAAGTAATGCTAAGATATTTTGCAAATCACAAAGGATATGGAAACAAAGTGCACCCAACTGAAAGAAACCAATTCCATGAATAAAGATTTTCTTTAATAATGGACAAACCAAATACATTTTGGTGAGAGGGAGGAGAGATAAAACTCCCTTTCTTCCTCCCATGTCTCAGAGATCACTGTAGAAGAAGGGACATAAAGAACACAAGGGCCAGTGGCAGTGAGGACTACTAGGAAGTTGTGTTTTCCAAGATATGATAAGGCAGTTACACATGTGAACTCACAACAGTTGAGACAGCATGAACAAAGCATGCCAAAGTTCAAGCTAGATGAAATGCCAGCATGGTGAGGGTGGGTCATGAAATCCCACTCCTAGCTAAAGACCTAGCTTCTGCGGAGGGAGAGTTAGTTGTCCTTAAGGGTGTGGCCCATCATATGTCTAGCATATGTGGTCCATTGGAAGGCCACATACCCAAGAGTGTCTAGGCAACACTAATTGGGCTTGATGGGTATTTTAAAAAATAATGAATGAGAACACAAAATTGGTGAGTATAGACTCAGGGACAGATCTTAGAGGAGATGGGGAAGAAATAAATATGATCAAAATCAGGTGTTAGAAATCTCAAGGATTAATGAAAATACTCTTAAAACTCGAATGCATACTGTGATTAGAGGAGTCAGAAGAACAATGAGAGGAACAATTCACAGTTCAGTACTTAATATGCTGCAGATATCCTTCTGAGTGTTGCTCTTTTATGGACACACATGATTTTCAAACCCTGTGTATTAAGTAATGTTCTTTTCTTCCTCTACTGCCAGTGTAAAAGGAAATGAAGGCCAGAAAGGCTGAGCAAGTTGCCCAAATCACTTAGCATAGCTGAGATTTTTCCCTAAAGGCTTTAACTCAGAGTCCACATGATGAGTTGTTCTACTCTAGAAAGATAGAAGTGGATTCAGAAAAGCCAGACCACATTCCCTTGCCACCAAGTGCTCAAGACTCGACTGTGTTAGTGGTCATAAAAGCACACTGGGCCTCCCCAAACTCTTCATATTGAACGATATCACCAAAAGTTCTTGGAATGTGTATTTTCTCTGGTCCTAAGTGTACACCTTGGGGACTCCCAGGACATAACTCAGTGACTGTGTCAAGTGCCATCTAACAGACTTGTTAAATGATTGTGTAGGTAGACTGGGGGAACCAGTTAGCATTTGCTTTCTAATTGCCCTCTTTATATGGTAAACTATTTAAAAGCACTGATTTTCTACACAAAATAAGTATATTTTGCAGCAACATCCGGGATGATGTTAAAGAGATACTCAGAGGAAATCTATGCTTTGGAGAGAAAGGAAGAGACAGTCAGGGAGCTCACCCAGGGACTAGGGCTACCACACCTTCTCCTTTAAGAGAGATCCAAACAGCAGAACCATCACAAAGGTGTATTTTGATTGTGATTTTGCATAGGTCTTGATTGAACCAGAGTTTAACTTGAAATATTTAACATCAAACCCTCCCCTCTGCCTCCAACACTGCTGCTCTTCTGGTTAAGTGTTGAAGAGAGAGCTGTAGACCCCAAGATTTAAGTTTCAAGAACTACACGTGACCATGTGTTTCAGAGGCAGCTGTGCCCCTGAACCTCACAGCACAATGGAGGTGAGTGCTGAGACTCTGACAAGCAAAAATGTCCCCTGCATTGCGACTGTGTTCCAACCTCTCTTATCCATGTTTAAAATAAGGAATTCAACAATATTTCCTTCTTTCTCTCATCATTTGTCATGTGGAGAGGATGTCGAGAAAGCTCTTTCCCAAAAGATTGAATAGACTTTAGTAGAAGACAATGCGTTCCTAAATTGACCTTTTTTTTTTTTTTAAAAAAAAAAATGCTCTTGAATTCCATGTCTTTACAAAAATGTATCTTTAGCTTTTAGCCTCTGAAGAAGCAAAATCACAACTGCTTAAGAAAATTTCCCTGCTGGAAGAAAGGCTGGAGTCTGTGGGCCAGAAGAGGACCAGTGGACCGTCCTATGAAAACATGGTTCTAGAGAAAGACAAGGTATGTGGAAGAAAGGTCATGTTTTAAGGCTATTTTCCATATATGACAAGTCTGTAAGCCATTGCTGGGTTGAAAGTTCACATTTAATGGGATGGGCCTGTTCAGTGGTAATGAAGCAGGCACTTAGAAGCTGACTTTACTGAAAGTGTTGACTCATCTTCATAGCACAGATAACTAAAAGCATAGGGGAAATTGGACACCTGCCTTCATTCTGTGTCTGTTTCTGGCTGAAAGCATAGAGAGAAATCATTGTCTAAACCTACAATTACCTAGGATTCTAGAAGACCAAACCCTGGGAGGAAAAGGCACCCCACACCCGGACAAGGGCAATTGTTCACAAGATTGAAGCTGTATTCTAAAATTAGCTACTTAATGTAGTAGAGGACCACCATGCAGGACAGATTCAGCTGAGGAATTGATGGACTAGTGCTGTTCGGGTCACATCTTGACGCACAGTGCTTTACTATGTAAAGTCCTTGCCTTCTAATTTCATATTAGTGCTCCAAAAATTGGTCTTCATGGTCACTAGACTTCTATATTTGTTCCTCTTCCCAATGTGGCCATACTAAGTAAATATCTCCTTTCTCTTGCCTTTACCAATATGTCTCTAAATTGGTTTATCGGGATAGGGACATGGGACTAGCTTATTGGAAGTGCTGAACCACTTTCAGTCTTCAACCTGAAATCTCTGGTAAATGTAGCTATTTGTTTAGATTGTACAAGGGCCAATCCTTAGCATTCTAAAACAATAATAATAATTTAAATTAATATTTGAGTTAATAGAGTTGAATACAACATTTGGTAAGGGTAATTGTTTTCCTGATGAACATTCACAGATTAAAATTTTTCACTTACATTTAAGCTTTTCTTTTCTTTTGATAATGTATCCTTTGGGGAAATATTAGCTTCATAGTCCAATTATTTTGTACATGGCATCAACTGTATACTTATTTCTTAGTTTTCAACGTTGGACCTGATAGTTAAACAATGGATCTTAGAATGTAACATTTGTCTTAGTAAGGATCACAAAACACCACCATAACCAAAAGCAAGTTTGGGAGGAAAGGGTTTATTTGGCTTACACTTCAGCATTGCTATTCATCACTGAGGGAAGTCAGGACAGGAACCCAAACAGGGCAGGATCCTGCAGGCAGGAGTAACACGGGGGCCATGGAGGGGGAGCTGCTTACCAGCTTGCTTCCATGGCTTGCTCAACCTGTTTATAGAACCCATAATTACCAGCCCAGGGATGACACTACAAACAATAGGACTGGGCCTTCCTCAATCAATCACAACTTAAGAAAATGTTTGACAGTTGTTATGGAGACATTTTCTCAATTGAGGGTCTCTCCTTTCAAATAACTCTAGCTTGTGTCAAGTTGACACAAAACTATACAGCACGCATATTTTTAATTTATGAAGTAATGTATCATTATATAACGATACATGTATCATTTTATAAACTTGACTTTTGTTCAATTCAAAGAGTTTTGTATGCCTATGGATATGTTATTTTTGTAAATGTGCATATGTTGGCAACAGAGAAACACACACACACCCATACACACACACACACACACACACACACACACACACACACACACACTAGCATTAACCTCATCACCTCAAGCTATCATTTTTCCCCTAGCAGTTTTGTACTTTGCCCTCAGGCTTTCTCATAAACAGAGAAATGACCGCTCTGGTACAGATTTCAATATCTAGCTAACATCCTAATGCTGCCAGTCAGTAGATTGGAAACAGGCACACACATTTACCTGTGGGACACTTGTACTATGAAGAGTTAGGCATTGCTCTCTATCCCCTTCTTTCCAGTGCATCGAGAAGCTGCAAGCTGAGGTAAAAGCCTCCCAAGAGAAACTTACAGCCCATGTAAGTGTTTTCCTCCTTCTTATTCTCATTATTTATGTCACTGCAAACCTGAAAATGAACAGAAATTTGTCAGAAGTCATAAATGAGGTTTGTTCACTGTGAAACAAACCATAAAGTTAAAAACCGATATTTTTACAACTTCTCCATAAGTAAAGTTCATTTTCTTGCAGATGCTAAAAATGAAAAAAGGTGATCTCTCTCTCTCAGAAGGTAAAACAGTCCATGTTGATGGCACATCTGAAGATCCCTACATGTAGAAAAGGATGCCAGGAAAACCAGTGGAGAGACTAAATGGAGACCAGTGGTTATTGACATATGGAACATAGGTCTCAGGCAGAAATCCTGAAACTTTAGTTCATACAAATAGCCCCTGGAAAGTGTCAAAAGGCAAGCTGCCCAGAGGTGCTGTTTTCTGGGTGCTTAGGCCTAAGATGATTATAGAAGTCACTAATTATCAATGCTTCCAAATTTTGAGCCAGTCTTGAGCAGCATATTGATTGTGAACTCATTTTCCCCAGTCCTGTGGTATTTGGGAAAGTGACCCTAAATCAGAGTGTGTGAATGCCCATTTGCTCCCAGAACATCTTTGATGAAGATCTCATGAATTCTTGGGGACAAACTCGTTTGCATGTTAGCCTGTGTCTGTACAGAGAACTAATGAGCACCAAACAGACAGGATACTCTTATGTATTTGTGTCCATAAATCAGTCACCTAGCTACTTCTGAGAATATGAATGTCCCTGATAAACCTTAAGCACGTCTCAAAAGCTGATTGTCATCTTTCTGATCATCTCCATCTCCATCTGGGCTGCACAGGCTAACCTTGATAAAGAATACTGGCCAGCCATATCAAGTGACCACTCTCAATAGCACCAACTTCCTCAGACCAGCTCAGAATGCAAACAGAAAATCTTTGTAATTGTCCTATCTTTTGTGCTGAAGATAAAAACAAACAACAAACAAACAAAAAACCCTAAAACCTTATGTGTCAGAGCTTTTAATCCCTAAACCCAGTCTTTTTCTGACTTTGAATACTCATTTGAGCAGTATTGAAAGTGATGTGTGCATGTGTCTGTGGCTGTGAGGCCTGTTCTAGCAGAAGTATGCAAAACTAGCTCAGCAGTCTATTGCACATGATTCTCCACTGGCTAGCCCCAAGGATGCCAGATAATTACTACAGAGGGATGAAAGCTCTGTACTTATTCTGTTCCCTGTATCTGTTAGCAAGGAGGAAAAGCAGATGCACTTTCCAGCTTCTGATACCATCTTCCAGCATCTCCTCTAGACAGTCTGATCTTCAAAGCTCTGAGTCACTGGTGCCTTGGGGAAATCCCTGTGATAGTTACTTCTGTCTCCTAACTCTAGAGAGTGTCTGCTCCCACAATGCTACTATTGTCTCAGGCTCGTCTGAATCTGAACCTGAGCTGCTCTTTTGTACAGTGTTTCTAGATTTTTCTATAGGAATTATCCAACACTTGGATTTCAATATGCCAGTTCATATTCATCAAGGCTTTCCTTTAGTTCATCAGGAAAGTTTATGGAGTTGGCCATGTGTCTTCCCATCTTCCTATCATATCAATTTCAAATTCTAATATAACCTGTTAAGTTGGGCATTATTTCTCAGGTTAAAAGATTGAATCTTAGAAGTGTCAGATTACTTTTCATACTTAGAAATTCATGATTTTGCCATCACAGCTGAGTGTCTTTCCGAGTGACTTTCTCTGCATGCTCCCTGAGGTGTCACAGGTCATCTAGAGCACTACTTCCAACATCCTTTTCTCTTTCTGTGCTCTGGAAGTGATTTATCCCTGTGCAGCCCTTCAACTCACACTTCTATGCCAATCAACAGCCACTTCCACCCTTCAGGTTCTTCCTGTCTTAATCATCCTGTAATTATAATCCCTAAGTATTTTTAAGTTTCGTTTCTTAAAACATTATGCCTGGTGAGAACCTTCAGTAGGATGCTACTACCTATTCAAAAAAGATAGAAAGAAAGTGTTGGGGGGGGGGTACATGGGGGCTGGAAACAAAGCAAAGTGGATTATTTTCTTTAGAAAGCATCCTTGTATAGTCAGGCTTCCAACGTGTTCATCCATAAGTACCATTTTAAAGCACACAGATGTTTCCTAATTATGTCCTAGCATCATGCCACTATCTCAGGATCAGCAAGTCATGTATGTCTTAAGTTTGTATGTTTTTTATTTTCCTTTTCTTAGAGCAAATTTGATATAGTTACTGTCTTTGTATATAGTTTTGTGTCAACCCTAAATAATTTCTTTAGACTAAAAGGGAATTGTAGTGAGATATTTACCCCGTCTGCACCTGTCCCCCTGACACCAGATATCATGGATAAATAAGGATCTGGGAAAACATATAGGCTGATGGATGTTTATTTAGGGAAAAATCACTTACAACAGAGACAGATGACAGTCAGCGGGTTCCCATCCCAAGGATGCCTCCAGATGCCCTCTGTCTCTGATCAGGAAGCAAGAGAGGGTCTCTGGGGTCCCTGACCCCAGATCTAGTTCTCCCAGGTCATGTTCACACCTGTCCCTACTCCAAATGGGCATGGTCAGTGCAACAGGTTCAGGTGGGGTGAATATCTCACTACAAAGTCAGACTTGTCATCTTCTTCGTCTGTATCTTGAATTTGCCCTTTTGTTACCTTCCCCAGCCATGGTGGCCAACATATACTCTGAGATTATTCTAGAGACCAACTAAAAGTCAGTCTTAAAACTGTAATCATCTCCTCCTCCATCCTTATGTAGCGAGCTGCTGTGGGATTCTGGACTTCTGCACCTCCTACTTCACTATGCTACTTCATCTCTACCCTTTCCTGTCCATTGTGTAGTTTACTTATTGTAAATGGTCCCAAATAATTAACATATGAAATTTAGAGCCTTCTGCTGTCCCTCTCCAGTCACACACACACCCACCCACACACACACACACACACACACACACACACACACACACACACAAAAGCCCATTTGTTTTAGTTGCATGGGGTTTAGTTGGCTGAGAAGAAAAAGAATAAAATCTATGTGTAAATATTTTAAGTGAGGGCTGTGTGCATAGCTCAAGAGTGTTTGATTGGCATGCTTGAAGCATGAGGTTTAAGGCCTAGTACAACGGGGGTGAGGAGGTAGAGGAAAGGAAAGGAAAAGGAAGGGAAAGGAAGGAAAGAGTGACAGATTTAAACTGTGCATAGAAAACAAAACCAAGTAAAAGAAAGACTCTGGCGCGAGGATGTGATCAGTGAAGAAGAGAGAGGGCTTAAGGAACTAAGATTGCATTAACAGAACTTTGTAAATATAGTGAAGGCTTTTCTGGGCGAAAAATGGAAAGATCTTGAGATTTCTGAGAACTCTATAGATTAAAAAGTAAATAATAGGGAGAGATAAGAGTTTCTCGGTGTTGTTGACTTTAGCCTTTTTAGGTATTTGCGAGTCCCATCAAAGACTGGATTTCTGTAACTGTAACTTCCTTAAATGCTCATTTGTGTAAATTATATCAACTTGACACAAGCTAAAATCATCTGAGAAGAGGGAATCTTAATTGAGAAAATACCTTCACAAGATCTGCCTATCGATCGGCAAGCCCGTAGGGTATTTTTCTGAATCAGTGGTCCATAGGGAGGGCCTGGTCTATTGCAGGTAGGCCACCCCTGGGCTGGTGGTCCTGAGTTATGTAAGAAGGCAGGCTGAGCTAGCCAGTAAGCAGCATTACTCCATGGTCTCTGCATCAGCTCCTGCCTCCAGGTTCCTGCCCTGTTTGAGTTATTGTCCTGAGTTCTTTGGACGATGAACATGGATGTGGAGCCAAATAAACCCTTTCTTCCCCAAGCTGCTTTTGGTCAGCAATAGTAACTCTAACTAAGAAAACTGGAAAAATGGCTTTCCAGTTTCCAGAAGGCCATCTTGGATGGTACTTTCAAACACAGCACCTGGCCCTCTTTCATCTCCATTCCTTTACTCTTCTCAGTTTCTGACTGATTCTACTAATAAAATGAAACGTCCATTTTTCCTTGTGTTTACAGTACCAGCTGATGTTGGAGAATGTTACTTAGTGATGGAGGCTTGAACAACAAAATCTGTAGCACAGGGAAGGCACCACTCAGACCATGTGTAGCCTTGTGTGAACCCCTTTCCTACGTCTTTTCTATTCAATTTACCATATTTTTCTCATTCTTGAGCAAGATAGCTATTTTTTAAGAGTTTAACCCAGAAGCCATCTAACTTTTATTGATGTTTTCCTAGTTCTGTGTTCGTCTCTTCACTCCTTCATAGTACTGTATGTAACCCCACGATGGAATAAACTCTTGTGGTCAGCCTTTTCTCCAAACCTGGGTTCTTGGAAAGCAGGGCACATCTCCATCAGTGTCTCTTCAGTGTCTTGTGCAGATTTTAATGAAATGGCTTGAGCAGGAGAGAGGAAGACAAGAGGAGTAATGATGGGAAGACAGACAAACTGTCATACGCTTTCTCCTGTTCAGGGATTGTAGATTTAGCTACATGTGTACACATACGTGTGAAGTGGAACCAAGGCAGACTCCTTCAAGGAGGGTGGAAAATCCCAGAGACAGAGGGAAAGGAGGGTACTGCAGGGGGACAGGGCCAGCACACAGGCATGCATATGAAAATGTCCAATAAAATCCATTATTTTATATTCTAATTTTAAAATCAATAAAGCAGGAAATGATACAGCCAAACTAAAGTGAAATTTACTCTGACATTTACAGACCCATACTCTATGCTTCCGAGCAAACATCTTTATATTTCTTAAAGATGCCAGTTATATAAGGTATCAGTTCAACCTGAGGCTGGTACTGTCTGAATAAAGCACGTATTAGTCACTTTTCTTTTGTGATAAAATGCCACGAACATGGACACTTGTAGAAGAGTTTATTTGAACTTATGGATCCAGAGGGATACGAGTCCATGATGGCAGAGGGAGGCATGGCAACTAGAGCAAGCATGGTGGCAGGATCAGAGGCTGAG